CTTATGGTGTAGTAGAGGGCACAAGACTTTAATAATAAATAACTTTAATATCTTGTTCTTTTATTGGTGAGTCTGACACTTGTCCTTTCAGATCTAACTTAATTTATACTTTCTCTCTTTCTCTGTTGGATCATACTTTCAGTTGTTGTTATCCTATTATTATGCTTTGTGTAGGAAAGTGATATTTTTGGTTGCTATCACCATTAGCTTTCACTAACTATTATGCTCTGTTTCATTGCAGCAATATTGACTGAGTGTTATGATCATATTGTAGACCTTGTACACCTTGTTCACACCTTAAAGTGTAAACAAGGTGTCAAAGACAATTTCCTCTTTATCATGTAGAATTATTCTTACTCAACTGCTCAGCTAAACAGATCACTCTCTGAAGACTGGGAGGAGATAATAAAGCCACTCCTTGACATTAATGATTAATGATGGTTTCAATTCTGTTTGCTGCTACAATATTGTGTCAATTTCTTGCTCCTGCTGCTGGTATATGAATAAGATGATAATGATATGAATTTTATATCCTATAGGTATATTTACTACTGTTCCTATCACACAGTATGTATATGTCAATGATACCGTGACATTTGAATGTGCCGGATTTATTGGGTCTGGATATACTCTCTCATTCTTGTATGGAACTGATGTAATGGCAACTGAAACTGATTTACCTAATGGAGGAAAGAGGACAACATTTACTGCTACTAGTGAAGTGAATGGTACTGACATTTTTTGCTTGGCTCGTATGGGAATCATGATAAATTCCACTGAAGCAGCTTACATTTATATTCAAGGTATTATGATCATTTATTTTAACATCATTTAAAATCTATCATTGACAAGGTCCTCCTGATAGTGTCAGTAATTTAACAGGATATCAGTTATATTTTTGTTGTATGTTTATCAGTTGGTACCCTCCATTCACACTACCAGGACTAACAGTACAGTATATAATCAGTGTAGGAACTGATCAACAGTACCTTAATGACTCTATCACTAACTACACTTACTGTCCAATGAACCCAACCAATAAACAATATCTGTTTAACATTACAACTACTAATAAAGCTGGGAATGGATCTAGTAACATAACTGTTGAATTTCAAACAAGTAAGGAATAAAATGAAATAAGAACTATTTTTTGATAGATTCAGAA